GTAGTTGACAAAGTCTCCCGGAAGAAGGGTGGATGGGGGGAGGAGGGGTAGGGGGTTCGAGGAGATTGGAGAAGATCGAGAAGAGTTTTTTGGGGTTAGAGAATGAGGATTCGATTTTGGACTGGTAGAAAGAGCTTTTGGCAGCAGAGATAGAGGCAGAGAACGAGGAGAGGAGAGATTGAAATTCAAGCAGGTCGTCAGGTCGTTTATATTTACGCCATCTCCTTTCCGACGCTCGCATGGTGGCTCTCATAGCACGGACCGGTTGAGACAGCCACGGAGCCGGAGGGGATTTGCCAGTCCGTCGTGTCGTAAGAGGGCAGAGAGAGTCTAGAGAGGAGGAAAGAGTTGAGAGGAGAGTCTCTGCAGCAGCGTTCGGATGCAAGAGTGAGAAGGAGTCAGTTGAAGGGAGAGCTGATAGAACAGAGGATGCCAGCGAGGAGGGAGAGAGGGAGCGAATATTGCGACGAGCCGGTATAGAGTTAGTCCATGAGGGAGGTTTGTTAGTTATAGAGAGTGGAAGGGAGTAAGAGATGAAGAAGTGATCAGACACATGAAGTGGAGTTACAGAGAGGTTAGTGGTAGAGCAGTTTCTAGTAAAGATGAATCACACGTGGAACGCCAAAAATGGAAAAGAATTGTGTCAATGCCTTGACTATTGATCTTGCAGAAAGTGAACGCAGAGGATATACTGCAGGATATCTTGTTGTCTGGCACATCACAGACAGATAAGACCAACCAGACTTTGAGGTTGGTAAAGGCCCCACACAATCTATAAGCAAACGCTCAAATGGTTGACTGATCGCTGGAATGGGACAGAGAGGTGCTGGCTTGATTGACTGACTCGGCTTACCTGTAATTTGACATGTATGACATGATTTTATGTAATTGGAGACATCACGCTTTAACTTCGGCCAAAATAAATATCGCAAAACGCGGTCATAAGATTTCCTCACACCCAAATGACCGGATTTGTCACGTGCAATCATTAATACTGTGACACGGAATTTGTCAGGCACAACAATTTGAAACACTGGCTCACCAACAAAATCACCTTTACAAGGCACCCATTTCCACACAAGCAACCCATCCTGGAGAAAATAGCCAAGAGCCACATTTCCAACCTGACTTTCCGGCAAAATACTGGTCAACAAACCAGACGGACACGGATCAACCTGCTGACTTTTAACCCATTCCGGCCGAGGGACGGATGGGGGAAGATCAGGTAAAGGAATCACCACTTTAGTCTCTCTTTGCTCTCCACTAAAGTCTGAAACAGTCCTAGCACACTGCGCACGGGTCACGGCGCAGGCTGGAAACACATCTGGATATCTGACCACAGTCATCCGGCCCAGCAATCACCTTTAACTCTGGAGCAACCACAGGAGATGGCGGCACAGAAGGCCAGACTGCCCCACCAGCGAGGTAATTTCCTAGAATCATTTCCACCCCATCAATTGGCAATGCTGGACACACACCCACTGCAACAATGCCTTGCACCAGGTCACAATCAAGCACCATCTTGTGCCGTGGTACAGGTACCAAACCCGTCTCCATACCTCGCATCAGAATAAAATCCCCCATTTCTGTTGCAGGTGAAAAAGGCAATGCTGATTCCAAAATGAAGGAATGCTTAGCACCTGTGTCTCAAAATCTTTATAGGCACACGCTCCTCACTTCCCACCAGAGAAACTAGAGCATCAGCAACGAACGGCTCAAAATCATCACTCTCTGGACCAACACATTCAAGACTTGGCCCCTGAACACTGGAACAGGCCCGAGCAGGAGCAGATGGATAAGACCTTCGTTTATTCCTAGTTCGTAGTACAGGGCACTGATCTTTCCAGTGGCCCGAGCCCTGACAATTACAACATATGGCCCCTCTGCCATCATCTCTCACACGTGTGGCTTTAAATGCATGCGTGGGACGGGCTACTAAGGACTGGACCCCGAAACGAGCGCTCCCAAGGTTGTTACCTTCACGTCTATCACGGGTTGAGCACATCTCATCCAAACCACTTTTGTGCGTCAACACAAAATCATCCGGCAGCTCAGCCGCTCTGAGTGCAGTGGTTGCCTTCTGTTCACTTACATACACTGTAATACTCTGAGGAATCACATTTAAAATTGTTCCAACACTATCAAATCGCAAATCGCTGAATATGCTTCCTGGGCCCTACCCGTAAGTACACACTGAAGCATCAAGGTCCTATCAGCATCAGGCAAATTTCTTGCATCTGCAATACGCTCAAACAAAGTGAAAAACGTATCAGGATCCTTCTCACTGAATCTGGGCATTAAACGCAAATTAGCCCCGACATCGAATCCAACCCGCACAGACTCAGAGAAACTTTCCTCTGCCATACTCTGGGAAAGCTTACCGTCACAAATCAAACTCAATTTATAGTGCTGCAAGTCTAGTTTCATTTTTTCTGTTTGCTGCCGAACCTTTTCGATTTGAATTTGTCCCTCGGTTTCCACGTTTAACCGGATTCTCTCCTGTTCAAACTGCAACATCAGCAGCTCCTTCTGCTGCTCAAAAGTCAGCCCCGACATGGGTGCACACAGATGTTGCCACAGCTGCCATATGACCTGGCTCTTTGGGCCATGACACGATTGCACTGTTTAAATATTCTTTATTTAACATAAGACAACAAAAAATCCACAAACATTCGAGATGAGAACGTCAGTATTATCAGTAGTGTAGGATGTGCATGAGGGTAGAGTGTAAGAGACGGGTGTTGTCAAGGGCATCGAACTAAAAGGAAACCGGAGTAACCACGGTGGCTGCCCTACCACACCACAGACGTCTGCTGGGGGGGAGAGGGGGGAGGGGGGGCACAACAGGTGTGACAGCAGGCAGCCACCAGACTCCGACCAGGTAACCGGGGAAAACCTGCTCATCCTGTTAGATGTTTATCCATCTCTTATTTTATGAGTTTAATTTTCTTTTGTGTGTCCAAGTCAGCCGAATTCTGGTAGTCTCTATCCAATTCTCTCGGTTTTTCTATATTTTTCATATACGTTTCTTATTTCTTTCTTTTTTTTTGCGTAGGTCGATTCCGAAATTTATCGGACTCTCATAACTGCCGTCAAGGCGTCCCAAACCATCGTTGGCTCCACCATCTTATTGTCAGTTTTTCCGTAACATAGTTTTGTATTCCCAATTTCACCACCACATAGAACCACCATCACATAGAACCACCATCACATAGAACCACCACCAGATAGAACCACCATCAGATAGAACCACCATCAGATAGAACCACCATCAGATAGAACCACCATCAGGTAGAACCACCATCCGCTAGAACCACCATCACATAGAACCACCATCAGCTAGAACCACCATCACATAGAACCACCACCAGATAGAACCACCATCAGATAGAACCACCATCACATAGAACCACCATCAGATAGAACCACCATCACATAGAACCACCATCACATAGAAACCACCATCACATAGAAACACCATCACATAGAACCACCACCAGATAGAACCACCATCAGATAGAACCACCATCAGATAGAACCACCATCACATAGAACCACCATCACATAGAACCACCATCACATAGAATCTCCTTCCCCAGAAGCCTGTGGGGAGGGAGAGCACAAAGACTTTAGGAGAGGGTAAGGTTGGTTTACGAGTACAGTAATATGATTAATATCTAAAATAATAATGATGATGATGATGATGGCAGCAGCAGGCGTCAGCAGGGCAGCGGCAGGTGTCAGGACCAGGGTCCAGAAGGAACCACGATCTACGGAGACCTGATAGGGGAGAAAGCACAAAAAAAACTCCCTGAAAGAAGCTGAATTAGTGATGTGCATTAATACAACGTGGATTATTGTAGAACGAGAGCGTGAGAGAGGAGCTCGGTGTGTCCTAAGAAGTCCTCCGGCAGTCTAAGCCTACAGCAGCTTAACTAAGGGCTGGTCCGTCTAACCTGAGCCAGCCCTAAACTACAGCGTCACATTTTAAATGACTTCGATAGGAGACACTTACACATTTTTATTTTATACCTAAGTGGGGTATTAAGTGAAAAGACGTGTAAAAACAACATTTTATTAGGGGTTTAATTTACTATTTCAAGTAGCCACTGAATTAATATTTACTTTAATAGTCAACTAAGTCAATTACAAAAAATGAATAAAAATTAAAGTGAGGTGCAATCGTAGCAATATATGTCATACCTTTTTAACTATGTTTTTAAATTTCATTTTTAGCTGCTTCCAGGTCCTTTTGTCCCTGTTAGATTGCACCTAAATGAAAAGATTTCATTCCTACTTATATTCATAACTACAGGCTGCGATGATCTTACGGTTAAATGTCATGTCAATGGAACAGTTCATTCAAACTTACGCGTTGACTCGGGCAGCGATTCTTCCCCACGCAGTCTCTCTCTCCTCCGCTGCTGCAGCTGTGAAATACGTGCTCACGCTCACCTGCAGAAGGACCTCCAACTCCATCGCAGGGAAATAGCTCTTTTATTTACTGTTGTCATGGTGACTCGTGGTGACTCGTGGTATCGGGGCTCCATTGATGATGTCTTTTTATAATCGTCATGCACGCGCTCAACTCAAGGTGAACATACTCAGTCGATTGAACTAACGCAGATCATCCCGTCTCAGAGTGAGTCAACTAGTTCAAGGACAGACTCAGAGCTTGTTAAACCTTTCTGGAATACCCCCCAGTGCTAAAAACACACTTCTAAAACAAACAGTACCTGAAACAATACCTTTTTTACTTTATGGACAATATATGAACTGTTAACAGTTTACAGTATATGTACAGTCTCTAAGAGCCGGAAGTGTTTGTATTACTTCATTGGAATTTGGGAAGTATTAATCATTTAATCTATGGTCATTGGAACTAAAGATATGTGAGATATGGAAACATTCATGTTGGACTGACGCTCCTTGTGTGTCTCCATGTATGACGTCATGATTGCAGCAGGTGCAACACAGAAGAGCTGCACGAGGCACGAGAGCACATCGTTTATCTGTCACGTTGACGCTTTGCTGCGTAAAATAAAGACAAAACGGAAAGAATCAAACGATCTCCGGTCATTCGCGTAAGAAAATGCAAGGAAGCCGCTTTACAACTTGGACCCGCCGCCAGCAGCAGAGCCGCTAGCCGGAGAGAGACGTGCTGCTCGCCGTGCAGCTTCGCCAGTCGCCCTCTGATGGTTTGTTGTCTTTCAAAATGAAGAAACTCCGGACGGACAGAAGACATCTCGGATCGAAAAGTTAGTCAAAAGAATTTAATTAAAAAAAGTCACCACCTCAGCCGAGGATTCTCAGACCACAGCGAGTCCTTTGACTACGACGTAGTTAACCGTCTACCGGCTCCACCCACGAATCCCCAACAAGGGGACACACGTACATGTAAAGACAATCAAGGTGCACTAACTATGCTGTTGGTCTAACAGAGTTCTGTGGTGATTGGGTTAGAGTCGGTGCGGGCGGCAGCGTCCACGCCTCTGAGCACATGACGTCAGGCGCGTCCAAGGTAGCTGGGTATTTGGAGTGTTCCATAGAGAAAGTGGTGCAATGAGGCTGGTGCACCTCTGCAGTCCGTGAGTGGGCTCTACATTGTGAGTGATGGTGGGTTCTTCCAGGGGCATAAGTGGTAGTACGCTGAGCCTGTACTTCCCCTCTGGCTATCCCTAGTTGTGATGATGATGAGTGGGCGGTCCTTGTCCCCGCGCTGCTGTAGCTCGCTGGTGGACTGAGTGGTGATGGATTGTAAAGCTCCAGACAGTCCAGGGCGGCCATATCTGGAGTTCTGTCCGCCCTTCTGTCTACAACTCAAGGGTCCCCGCTCCACCTCAACATTCCTTGAGGTACTTCCCGACTGGACTCCTCCTGCAGACACGACGACGTCTCTTCCCCAGATAGTACGCTGCTCCCGGGCCCCTGCTGAGATGTCAACACGTTGGACCGTTGTCCCACAGCACTCATTTCAAACCACATGGAAGAACAGCTCGTCCTGCAGCCACTGAACTGAACTCCTCCAGACACCAGAGAGATGCTGAAGTTATGGGATCACGGGTGGTTGAACATACCTGTATGTAGTGAATGTGTGTGCTGTTATTACTTGTATTAGTGAGACAGGAGTGGGTCAGATGTCGTGGTGTGCACTCGGGCTGGGCGGCATACGGGTTGAACAGCTGCACACTCCGTCATGCAGCGTGCAGATAGATATCTTGTTCTCTGCTCACCGACGGGGCGCAGCAGTCTGAGCTACTTGCTACTACTTAGTCCGTCTTCACTGACATTTGCATTTAATGAATTAACTTTGAGGCGTCCCAACAACATCCAGCAGGCTTCAACCTCATGAAGCTTGTAAAAGTCGGACTCTGACACTTGAGCAAAGATCTTCTTCCAAAACGGGTTCCTCAGGTTGAGGGTTAACGTACGAGTTCAATTAGCGCACTAATGCAAAATACGGTTCCCTGTTTCCCAGATTACAGGGGGGAGGTTCTCTGTGATGGAGCAGATTTAATGTGGTGCAGCCTATTTGAGACAAACATTTGCATATGGAGCAAACGTACCTGTTGGTTCTTTTGATTTCTCCCTGAAATACAAAAGCAAGAAAGGTATCAGCTTAAACAATAAGGCTGTGAAGGCAACAATGGAACAAAGTAATGTCAGCCAATCAGATGAGGGTTGCAAAGACAAGTACTAACTTTTGATCCAGAGGACAACCAGTGTTCCTATTAGTAACATTACAAGTACAACTACAGGTATTAACCAGTAACGGCCTCCTGAAGCAGCTCCACAAACAGTGTCACTGGTCAGGGTTCCTCCTTTGACCTCCACTTGGTTTTCTGAGCAACTGTCAAAAAAGAGAAATGAAGAAGAGCTTTAGTGCTTTTGGTGTTAAAAACGGAACATTACCAGGAACGCTTGTAGATGTATTGAAAGTGACCAAATGAAACGGGCCGGGGGGGTTGGTGACGTCTTGGATCTCCCGATGGGGGGTTGGTCCATCTCAGGGGAAACTTGACTACTGGTCAACGTAATAAACGTATAAGCATAGTGGGATCACTCTGCTTATACGTTTATTACAACACACCTTTTACAGACATCCTTTAACAAACAAGGTCTTACGTGGTCCAAAGTGAACAATTCACACCCTCCGGTGAAAAACTGCCTGCGGGACAAGGTTCACACGTTGTGTCAGTTCTTCTGGTCCCTTGGAGAAACAGACAAAGCTGAGATGAACGACACAGGAACCCAACGACCAGCATCATGAATCAGATCCATGTGTTCATCAAGGGAGTGCTCATGCACACTCGTACCCGAGACCTGATGACGTTCACGCTAACCGAGAGGCTCAATAAATCCTGCTGTAAGTGACCTGAGGAGGCCAGTTGGAGTATAGAGATCATGTTTACTGCAGCTGTACTTAGAAGAACCGTTGCTTATCCTCGTATACGTCGTGGTGTCTGCATGCTGAATCTAGTGAAAGAGTTCAGGCCTCAGAGACCAGACTGGAGGAGACCTACAAGGTGTGCTGGACATGGACATGAGTCACAGACGTGCCTGAGCTGTGGCCAAAGAGATCAATAACCAGCTACACCACCACGAGCCGTGGACGTAGTCACTGTGTGACTGGAGTTTTTCTCACCAGGCTCTTTGACCCTGTGACCAGGTTCACAGTCTGAATGTCTGCTTGCCGAACGGCATTCTTTATCTTCTATCAGGTCCGTGCAGAAGTGACCAGCGATGACGTCACAGACGGTGTCACTTGTTGATGTGCAGTTCTGTTTGGCAAAGAGACCACGGCCTGAAAACCAACACAGACTCATTATATTATAGTTAAACAAAGATGCTGGACAGCGGATTGCAACAAATGAACTGAATGATATGAGACGGACAGAAGAGCAGAGAGGTCGATGGAAAACTACCTTACAGCTTAAAGAGAAAGAGCTGTATTATATGAAGTCTGTCACAAAATAAAAACTGAATGTAAACGCAGGGAATTGACATTGTGAAACGTGACAGACAGGTAAGTAAATGTACTAAGAAAAGATAAAGCAAGTCACTTTGTAATTACATCACTCATTTTTCCACTTAAAGACAACGTTTGTGGACATTGATACATTTACTGTATTGTTAGTTCATAATGTCAATAAGCTGTATCACTGATAATAAACTGTACAGATACACAATGTGCTGCATTCAAGGCTCCATATAAAACACTTACCTGCTACAACACAATGACTACGGTCCTCTTTACAGCCAACGTGGCATCAACCTCACAGCACATCATCAGATTCATTGGGAATCAAGTTGCATCCATTACCAGGGTTGCAAATAGTGGCTTTGTGTCTTTTATTCGGTTTAATTTTGTCCAGTATAATAACAGGAGGGTGTCCTGAGAGTGAAAGGTGACTCAGCTGATTATGGACGTACCTTGGTCACAGGAGCTGCAGGGGAAGCACTTAGTCAGCCCATTGGGTCGGTTCATATACGTCCCGTCCACACAGGGGACGCACCGCGTGCCTGACTGAGGGGTGCAGTCTCTTTTAACCACTGAACCTGTTCAAGACAAAAGCACCTTCAGATCATCAAGGATGGGAAACAATCAGAACAGCAGATAAGGTGCTGCACCTGACAGTGAGTCAGTGTTTTTATAATTATTATATATAATCATATATATATAATTATTTTCTCTCCACCACGTTTGCAAAGTGGAGGCTGAGCACCGTATTCTGGTTTTGCTAGTTTTTAATCTGCAACTCACGATGCTAAAAACCTCACACACCGTTACTCCATTTAATCTAAGTGAGTGTGCATGTAGTGTACAGATCAGAACATCTGGGAGCTTCATCCAGCTGTGAGTCCATATGACTATAAAGGGCCTTTGGTGTCTCCATCAGAATGAGTCATTGTGAAGACAGAGCAGAATAATGAAACTTTTACACACATCAGTACAATGATGAGTATCTTGAGTTCATTGTATACCAGTGTGTTTCATTGGACGTCCCACACGCTGCTGCTGTAATAAGTGGTCAAATGACACAAAATCCCCCAACAGGAACGTGCCTTTAATGTCAAGTTATTTGATAAAATGTCCAGGAATATTCTATTTTCATAATAATATTTTTGCATGTCCACCTGTCACTGTGGGGTTATTGCCCTTTTAAGAAACATCACGGCCATCCGTGTAGGCTGGAAACAGTAGCTGTTGGCAGAGTTAGTATATAAACTCATATTTTGTAACTTTCATCATATTATGTGTGGAGCTGGATCTTGTCAAGCTTAACATGTTCACCCCCAGTGAGCACATGACGTAATTTCAACGTTGAAATCGGGTTGAAATCGGGTTGAAATGAGGTCTGAACGTCTAAGACCTCATTTCAACGTCTTTTCAACCGGCTAAAAATGGGATGAACCATCAACGTGCCAGAAAACGTCAATTTGTTGATAAATGTGTCATGTTGTAACGTAAGGTTGAAAGATAGACGATATTAACCTTAATATTTTCATAATAATTAATGAACTGGTCGGCGAAATTTACTCTACGGTTTTTGAACCTACTGGTTTGTCTACGCGTGCGTGTTTGTTTTCCCTACAGCGGCAGATGTTGTCCGCCTCGGTCACCTGATTTGTCACACATTCGCAAACATATTGCTGAAAATGTTCAAAAGTCATCACATATCCATTGCAGCGATTACGGTCGAACACTACGTCACTGCCACGTATGAAGAAATACATTGAAGAAAATATATTTATTAAAAGATCGCCGCAACCTGGATTCGATCCCCCGTCTACAAGACGGACGCGCTACGCCGTCGGCCACTCGGGCTCACTGATGTCGCTGCTGTTTCCTGTACTTGTCATCACTTTGTACATCGGCAGTGGCTAGAAAACCATTTGGTTCCGAGGGAACCAAGACAACTGGTTTTGGTGGCGTATCGCTGAACACTCCCAAACATGTGTTTGGGGGGGGGGGGGTTCTGTGCACGATGACCGTCCGAA